TTTTTTTGTGATTTTTCATTGATTTTTTGGTCATTTTTTAGTGATTTTTTTTGGTTGTTTTTGGAGGTGTTTTTCAGGTTTGGGATCTTGGGGACATTGGGGACACCTGGGGACACCTGGGGACATCGGGGACACCTCGGGGATTTGGGGCAGTTTGGGGTTTTTGGGGATTTTTGGGATTTTTTGGGATTTTTTTGGATTTTTTGGGGATTTTTTGTGATTTTTTTACGATTTTTTTGTGATTTTTTAGTGATTTTTTTTGGAGGTGTTTTTCAGGTTTGGGATCTTGGGGACACCTGGGGATACCTGGGGACACCTGGGGACATCGGGGACACCTCGGGAATTTGGGGCAGTTTGGGGTTTTGGGGGTTCTTTGGGATTTTTTGGGGTTTTTTTGGGATTTTTTGTGAATTTTTGTTATTATTTGTGATTTTTTAGTGATTTTTTTTGGCCGTTTTTGGAGGTGTTTTTCAGGTTTGGGATCTTGGGGACACCTGGGGACATTCGGGGAATTTGGGGACATTTGGGTTTTTTTGGGTTTTTTTGGGTTTTTTTTTGGATTTTTTGTAAATTTTGGGGTTTTTGGGGGATTTTTTGGCCATTTTGGAGGTGTTTTTCAGATTTGCCATCTTGGGGACATTTGGGGACATTTGGGGACATTGAGGACATTAGGGGGATCCAGTGGATTTGGGGATTTTTGGGGTTTTTTTGTGAATTTTTGGGATTCTTTTGGTGAATTTTTTGGGGACTTCTGGTGATTTTTGGTGTGATTTTTCATGAACTTTTGAGGGATTTTTCAGATCTGGGAGATTTGGGATCTTGGGGACATTTGGGGACATTTGGAGGAGTTTTGGGTTTTGGGGATTTTTGGGGAATTTCTGAGATTTTTTGGTGAATTTTTGGGGTTTTTTGAGGGATTTTTTAGATTTGGGATCTTGGGGACGTTTGGGGATTACTGGGATGAACTGGGATGAACTGGGGGACACTGAGGGTCGGGACACCTGGGGACACCTGGGGACACCTGGGGACACCTGGGGACACCTGGGGACACCTGGGGACACCTGGGGACACCTGGGGACACCTGGGGACACCGGGGGGATTTGGGGCAGTTTGGGGTTTTTGGGGATTTTTGGGATTTTTTTGGGATTTTTTGTGATTTTTTACGATTTTTTTGTGATTTTTCATTGATTTTTTGGTCATTTTTTAGTGATTTTTTTTGGTTGTTTTTGGAGGTGTTTTTCAGGTTTGGGATCTTGGGGACATTGGGGACACCTGGGGACACCTGGGGACATCGGGGACACCTCGGGGATTTGGGGCAGTTTGGGGTTTTTGGGGATTTTTGGGATTTTTTGGGATTTTTTTGGATTTTTTGGGGATTTTTTGTGATTTTTTTACGATTTTTTTGTGATTTTTTAGTGATTTTTTTTGGAGGTGTTTTTCAGGTTTGGGATCTTGGGGACACCTGGGGATACCTGGGGACACCTGGGGACATCGGGGACACCTCGGGAATTTGGGGCAGTTTGGGGTTTTGGGGGTTCTTTGGGATTTTTTGGGGTTTTTTTGGGATTTTTTGTGAATTTTTGTTATTATTTGTGATTTTTTAGTGATTTTTTTTGGCCGTTTTTGGAGGTGTTTTTCAGGTTTGGGATCTTGGGGACACCTGGGGACATTCGGGGAATTTGGGGACATTTGGGTTTTTTTGGGTTTTTTTGGGTTTTTTTTTGGATTTTTTGTAAATTTTGGGGTTTTTGGGGGATTTTTTGGCCATTTTGGAGGTGTTTTTCAGATTTGCCATCTTGGGGACATTTGGGGACATTTGGGGACATTGAGGACATTAGGGGGATCCAGTGGATTTGGGGATTTTTGGGGTTTTTTTGTGAATTTTTGGGATTCTTTTGGTGAATTTTTTGGGGACTTCTGGTGATTTTTGGTGTGATTTTTCATGAACTTTTGAGGGATTTTTCAGATCTGGGAGATTTGGGATCTTGGGGACATTTGGGGACATTTGGAGGAGTTTTGGGTTTTGGGGATTTTTGGGGAATTTCTGAGATTTTTTGGTGAATTTTTGGGGTTTTTTGAGGGATTTTTTAGATTTGGGATCTTGGGGACGTTTGGGGACACTGGGATGAACTGGGATGAACTGGGATGAACTGGGGGACACTGAGGGTCACCCCGGGGAGGTGACAAAGGTGACAAAGGTGACAAAGGTGACAGAGGTGACAAAGGTGACAATGGCACCCAGGTATGACAGGGCCAAGGACGTGGGGAGAGAATGGGGACATTGAGAGCACTGGGATGAACTGGGATGAACTGGGATGAACTGGTTCATACTGGGATGGGCTGGGGGACACTGAGGGTGACCCCAGGGAGGTGACAAAGGTGACAATGCCACCGCAGGGCCCTGTTTGACTACGACAAGGCCAAGGACGTGGGCTTCCTGAGCCAGGCGCTGAGCTTCCGCTTCGGGGACGTTCTGCACGTGCTCGACGCCTCCGACGAGGAGTGGTGGCAGGCCCGGCTGGTGCTGCCCCCCCAGCAGCCCCCCGACATCGGCTTCGTGCCCAGCAAGCGCCGGTGAGACACTGGGAGCCACTGGTTTGTACTGGTTTGTACTGGGAGCCACTGGTTTGTACTGGTTTATACTGGGAGTGGATTTGGAGTGGCTCCTATGGGGTTCAATGGCACTGGGAGTTACTGGGACTCACTGGTTTGTACTGGGAGTCACTGGTTTGTACTGGTTTGTACTGGGAGCCAATATCGGGGTGTTCCAACGGGGTTCAGTGGCACTGGTTTGTACTGGTTTGTACTGGTTTGTACTGGGAGCCACTGGAGCCTTACTGGTGTAACTGGCATTAACTGGGACCCACTGGGGAGGAACTGGAGCCTTACTGGTGGCTACTGGGAGGGAACTGGTCCAGACTGGTCCAAACCGGTTCTTACTGGCCCAAACCGGTCCAAACCGGTCCACACTGGTCCAGACTGGTCCAAACTGGTCCTTACTGGTCCAAACTGGTCCTTACTGGTTGCAGGGTGGAGCGCCGGGAGTGGACGCGGCTCAAGGCCAAAGATCGGGGGCCGGGGGCTCAAGGTGGGGCCCAAAAACCCCCAAAATTGCCCCAAAAACACCCCAAAATTCCTCCAAAAACCCCCAAAAATACCCCCCAAAAATCCCCCAAAAAATCCCCCCAAAATCCCAAAAATGCCCTCAAAAATCCCACAAAAGTCTCCAAAAATCCCCAAAATACCAAAAAAACCCCCCAAAATACCAAAAAAATCCCCCCAAAAATGCCCCAAAATCCCAAAAATGCCCTTGAAAATCCCCCAAAAATCTCCATAAAATCTCCAAAAAATCCCCCCAAAATCTAAAAAAAGCCGAAAAATATCCCAAAAAATCCCCCAAAAAATCCAAAAAAATCCCCAAAAAATCCCCCAAAACCCCAAAAAATCCCCAAAAGTCCCCCAAAATTCCCCCCAAAAATCCCCAAAACCCCCGGGTTTCCCACAGGCCGCGAGGACGCCGTGCTGAGCTACGAGACGGTGACGCAGATGGAAGGTGAATTTTGGGTTGAAATCCCGGAATTTTGGGATTTCCCCTCTCGGGGGGGTGGTTCAGGACTTCGGGAATTTGGGGATTTTTGGGGATTTTTGGGGATTTTGGGTTTTTTTTCCCCTCCCCAGTTCACTACGCGCGGCCGATCATCATCCTGGGCCCCACCAAGGATCGCGTCAACGACGACCTCCTGTCCGAGTTCCCCGAGAAATTCGGGTCCTGCGTGCCCCGTGAGTCACCTGGGCACACCTGGGGGCATCAGGAACACACCTGGCACACCTGGGGGCATCACGAACACACCTGGGCACACCTGGGGGCACCTGGGATACACCTGGGCACATCTAGAATACACCTGGGCACACACCTGGGGGCACCTGGGGGCATCACGAACACACCTGGGAACACCTAGAATACACCTGGGCACACCTGGGCCCCTTTTACCTCACATTTCACACCCAGTTAACACCCGTTACCTGTCCCAGGTGTGTCCCAGGTGTGTCTCACCTGTCTCACCTGTGTCACCCGCAGACACGACGCGGCCCAAGCGCGAGTACGAGGTCGATGGCCGCGATTATCACACCTGAGCACACACCTGGGCCCCATTTATCTCATATTTCACACCCAGTTAACACCCGTTACCTGTCCCAGGTGTGTCCCAGGTGTGTCTCACCTGTCTCACCTGTGTCACCCGCAGACACGACGCGGCCCAAGCGCGAGTACGAGGTGGATGGGCGCTATTATCACACCTGGGCACACCTGAGCCCCATTTATCTCACATTATCCCCCATTTCAGGGGTGTCACCTGTGCCAGGTGTGTCCCAGGTGTGTCTCACCTGTCTCACCTGTGTCACCCGCAGACACGACGCGGCCCAAGCGCGAGTACGAGGTCGACGGCCGCGATTATCACTTCGTGGCGTCGCGGGAGCGCATGGAGAAGGACATCCAGGGCCACAAGTTCATCGAGGCGGGGTAGTACAACAGCCACCTGTACGGCACCAGCGTCCAATCGGTGCGCGAGGTGGCTGAGCAGGTGAGAGCACACCTGGGCACTCCTGGGATACACGTGGGATACCCCTGGGCACACGTGGATACATCTGGGCACTGCTGGGATACCCCTGGGCACACCTGGGATACACCTGGGATACACGTGGGATACCCCTGGGCACACGTGGATACATCTGGGCCCTGCTGGGATACACCTGGGCACACGTGGATACATCACCTGGGATACACATGGGATACACCTGGATAAAGGGTCACACCTGAGCTCACCTGGGGCACACCTGGGGTACACCTGGGCACACCTGGGCACACCTGGGATACACCTGCGGTACACCTGGATAAACCTGGATACACCTGGGGTACACCTGAGATACACCTGGGTCACACCTGGGGTACACCTGGGCACACCTGGGCGGGGCAGTACAACAGCCACCTGTACGGCACCAGCGTGCAGTCCGTGCGCGAGGTGGCTGAGCAGGTGAGAGCACACCTGGGCACACCTGGGCACACCTGGGTACACCTGGGATACACGTGAGATACACCTGGATAAACCTGGATACACCTGGGGTACACCTGAGATACACCTGGGATACACCTGGGATACACGTGAGATACACCTGGATAAACCTGGATACACCTGGGGTACACCTGAGATACACCTGGGATACACCTGGGATACACGTGAGATACACCTGGATAAACCTGGATACACCTGGGGTACACCTGAGATACACCTGGGATACACCTGGGATACACGTGAGATACACCTGGATAAACCTGGGCACTCCTGGGATACACCTGGATACATCTGAGCACTGCTGGGATACCCCTGGGCACACCTGGGATACACCTGGATACATCTGAGCACTGCTGGGATACACCTGGGTACACCTGGGCACACCTGGGATACATCTGGGGCACACCTGGGTGGGGCAGTACAACAGCCACCTGTACGGCACCAGCGTCCAATCGGTGCGCGAGGTGGCTGAGCAGGTGAGAGCACACCTGGGCACACCTGGGAACACCTGAGCACACCTGGGCACACACCTGGGCACACCTGGGATACACCTGGGGCACACCTGGGCACACCTGGGATACATGTGGGTACATCTGGGTACACGTGGGTACACCTGGGCACCCCTGGGTACACGTGGGTACACCTGGGCACACCTGGGGTACACCTGGGCACACCTGGGCAGGGCAGTACAACAGCCACCTGTACGGCACCAGCGTGCAGTCGGTGCGCGAGGTGGCTGAGCAGGTAAACACACCTGGGCACACCTGGGCACACCTGGGATACATCTGGGGCACACCTGGGCGGGGTAGTACAACAGCCACCTGTACGGCACCAGCGTCCAATCGGTGCGCGAGGTGGCTGAGCAGGTGAGAGCACACCTGGGCACACCTGGGATACA